TTTTTCCTCGCTATACTGGAATATTGAAGCTCAATAATAAACTCCGTCAGGTAAATATATTTTGGCAAATATTGGCTAAGATCCCAGTATATACTTTTATGGATTTTAGACCAATATTTCGATGTGTTACAAACGATGACTCCCTGATGAGTTTATCGTATACCGATATTGTCCATTTTCAATAAAAAACTCCATCAACTAAAATTATGTTGGCAAATATTGGCTAGATGGTCTTAGACTGTAATAAGATCCCAGCATATACTTTTATGGACATTAGACCAATATTTCGATGTGTTACAAACGGTGTAAAACGTTCCTTGACTCCTTGATGGGTTGTGTCTCACAAGTGGTCATTTAGCGATCTTGTAAGTGACGGAACTAATAGGGAATCACATTGTTCGCCGGTCTCTTGTAAGATTTTAGGTTGATAGTCATGCAGTACTTAAAGCATTAATATGTCATAGCTGTATTATTGCATAGTCGTAGAATGAAGAAAAGATCTAAGTGTTATTATGAGACCGTTTACAATAAGGCTGTGTTGGGTACCAGGGCCCTGCAATATACACAAATGAGGTATCTGGCGAACTGATACGATGAGGCTCGAATCTTGCCCCATATGAACGGAACAAGAAGTTAATGCCACCCCTTTTTCATTTTTTTAGGTTGATCTCCGATGGATTCCGTGACTCTATCAACCAGTCATGGAATATAGAATTGCACATTATATAAGGCCGTTTTAAAAATATTTGATTCTAAAGAAACCGGGATTATTTTGGGGTAGATGGTGTACACCAAGAACACTTGCACTGGCTATAAAACATTATTAAAATACATAAATTTTTCTTGGCACAAAATAAATATGTCAAGTAATTTGTTTTTGTTTCATTCGTTTACGTTTTTACAGAAACTCACCACACAACAATCAAAAACAGCTGTTAGGGTTTGCTGTTTTATCAAAAGGTTGTTTTATTAACGGGTATATTGTCAAAGACCTAAGTCTCCTGTCAAAAACCTAACTGGTGAAAATGTATTACACCCAATTTACACGATGATTTTTTTCATGTTTGCCCAGACGTCTGTTTTCATGTTTGTCGATGATTACTGGTGAGCGGGGTAGAGAAGAATGGGGGTTAAGAAAACAAACACCCAATTTACACGATGATTTTTTTCATGTTTGCCCAGACGTCTGTTTTCATGTTTGTCGATGATTGGCGGTGAGCGGGGTAGAGAAGAATGGGGGGTAAGAAAACAAACATGATTTGGGATTTTCATGATTGTTTTTGACATTCCTCTTTAAACTCATTCGTACTGTTGATATTATGCTCATGTAAAAAAATAATTATGTCTTTTTTTTACATGAAAACATTGAAATTTGTATTAAAAAAATACTATAGCGTGTAATTAAATTTTTTTAAATCAAATTAAATGGTTTTTATGTTAAAAATTTCATTTTATTTTTATTACGAATAAGTAATTAAAAAGGATTATACAATTAAACATCAAAAAAAGACATGCCTAGTTGCATGTAAAAAATCACCGTATAAATGTTCATGATTTTTTGGAAGATTCTCAATAGAGAATTGGAAAAAAACAGACGTCTGAAAAGTCTTCATGTAAATTGCGCCTTAGTAGAAGCACAAAAATTAACACAGTTGTTCAAAAGGTGCTAAATAATAAATGTATTTCTGATACGTTATTTTTTGTATGTTATTACTGGGATTTTATATACTACAGAATGAAAATAACAGTTAATTAAAACATATTATAAACACGTCTTTTTGTTATTTTTTTTCTGCACTAATGGAAGAAGAAAAAAAGTATGTGAAATACTTTTTTCATTTTCAATACCAAAAATTTACAACTTTTCTTTTTTCAGTATTAATTAAAATGAAATGTCAAAGAATAAGAAATATTTTTTTTTTTCGTTTGTAAAATATAAATTATTTTCGGGGTTTTAAATGCAATAAAAGTGTCGCAAAAAATAATAAATATTAAGTTTAAGTGATAAGAAAAACTATAAAGTGCTAATATCCTCGCAATTTCGCGACGAAAAGTTGAAGTTTTGTGAGTGAGTTTAGTTCTCTCAAGTGTGTTTTATTCTCACAGAACTCGTCTGTGTGAAGAGAATAAGGCGCAATTTACATGAAGACTTTTCAGACGTCTGTTTTTTCCAATTCTCTTTTGAGAATCTTCCAAAAAATCATGAACATTTATACGGTGATTTTTTACATGCAACTATGCATGTCTTTTTTTGATGTTTAATTGTATAATCCTTTTTAATTACTTATTCGTAATAAAAATAAAATGAAATTTTTAACATAAAAACCATTTAATTTGATTCAAAAAAAATTTAATTACACGCTTTAGTATTTTTTTAATGCAAATTTTAATGTTTTCATGTAAAAAAAAGACATAGGCGCAATTTACATGAAGACTTTTCAGACGTCTGTTTTTTCCAATTCTCTTTTGAGAATCTTCCAAAAAATCATGAACATTTATACGGTGATTTTTTACATGCAACTATGCATGTCTTTTTTTGATGTTTAATTGTATAATCCTTTTTAATTACTTATTCGTAATAAAAATAAAATGAAATTTTTAACATAAAAACCATTTAATTTGATTTAAAAAAATTTAATTACACGCTATAGTATTTTTTTAATGCAAATTTTAATGTTTTCATGTAAAAAAAAGACATAATTATTTTTTTACATGAGCATAATATCAACAGTACGAATGAGTTTAAAGAGGAATGTCAAAAACAATCATGAAAATCCCAAATCATGTTTGTTTTCTTACCCCCCATTCTTCTCTACCCCGCTCACCACCAATCATCGACAAACATGAAAACAGACGTCTGGGCAAACATGAAAAAAAATCATCGTGTAAATTGGGTGTAACAACTTTTGTTTGACAACCCCTTCAGCAGAGATACAAGCCGTGACGGCTCAAATCGGCGGCGGCTGGCCGCCGGTAATATTTAGCAAGCCGCGCCGCCGCCGACTTCTTTCGACTCAAAGGCTAAGCCGGCTTTAACGTAGCCGCTGATAAAGGTTGTAATCAGAGATACAAGCCGTGACGGCTCAAATCGGCGGCGGCTGGCCGCCGGTAATATTTAACAAGCCGCGCCGCCGCCGACTTCTTTCGGCTCAAAGGCTAAGCCGGCTTTAACGTAGCCGCTGATAAAGGTCGGAATCGCACATGTTTTTCAGAAAATAATTTCACCAATTTGAACAGAGTTGCCACTATTTTAAATTCTTATGGCAAATTCAAAAGAGTTGCCACATAATATTGTGTTAATATTAAAATAGTGATAACTACAATAATAATGTCCATTTTCTGCAGAAAAAACTTATTTAGAGACAGGTTTCTATATAACAGACTATTATACAGAGATTTTTCAATATAATAAACGCTTATAAGGTAAATTTCTGAAGAAAAAGTTAAATTGAGCCGACAATTTAGCCGCCGCCGATATTTTCTAATATAACCAGCCGCCGCCGACCTAAAATGGTTGCGCCGCCGTCGCCGATCATTTTGCATCGGCTAGTATCTCTGCCCTTCAGTTTCGCCTATATCCCTACTAGGTGCAATTTACATGAAGACTTTTCAGACGTCTGTTTTTTCCAATTCTCTTTTGAGAATCTTCCAAAAAATCATGAACATTTATACGGTGATTTTTTACATGCAACTAGGCATGTCTTTTTTTGATGTTTAATTGTGTAATCCTTTTTAATTACTTATTCGTAATAAAAACAAAATTAAATTTTTAACATAAAAACCACTTAATTTGATTTAAAAAAATTTAATAACACGCTATAGTATTTTTTTAATGCAAATTTTAATGTTTTCATGTAAAAAAAGACATAATTATTTTTTTACATGAGCATAATATCAACAGTACGAATGAGTTTAAAGAGGAATGTCAAAAACAATCATGAAAATCCCAAATCATGTTTGTTTTCTTACCCCCCATTCTTCTCTACCCCGCTCACCACCAATCATCGACAAACATGAAAACAGACGTCTGGGCAAACATGAAAAAAAATCATCATGTAAATTGGGTGCTATATGGTCGAATCGAAATGCAGAATACCAAAGTTGCCAAACGGAGAAAATTTCGATTCGAATTGAAATGCAGAATAGGGGTCAATAATTTTGTTTTCTTATTGGATTGTTGAGGTTGAAATAACTGTTTGTTTTGCCATATGATGGTTCTACAAATATATTAAATTTAACGATGACTCACGGAGAGTCATGCATATTTCTTTATGATTATGATTTATTTCCATTAATTTTGTATGTTAATAAACAAAATTATTTTATATGAGGCAAGTCCTTTTATCTAAATTTTAATATATAAATAGAAAAATGTTTTAATTTTTTCGTTTTAAAATTATGATGAATTTTAGAAATTTTTACTATTTTGAGTGTATGCCAATCGGTAACAATTTACTTGAAAATGTAAATTTTTGATAGATATGAGGTGATCAAAATTTTACTAGCTCATAGGGCTATATAAATTTTTGACAAATGAAAAGAAAAATTTGAAAATACAAAAAATAAAATATTTTATAATTTTAGTTTATAAAATGTGATTGTAGAAATCTATTTTAATAATAAAAAAATCAATTAAAATGTTTCATTTATTAAAATATATGCAGATTTTGTTGTGAAGTTAGGTTGTGTGCCAAACGATTCTATGGTAAAATAAAATTTTCTTATGGTGGAAAATATTATCACTTTTGCTGTGCCAAACGAAATTTTTTTTGATTACATGAAATTTTGACAATTTTCACTAATTTCACAAGAAAATCTGCATTTATTTTAATAAAGGAAACTCTTTTGTTGATTTTTTATTATTGAAATGATTTTCTACAATCACAAATGTATTATAAACAAAATTATAAAATATTTTATTTTTTGGATTTTCAAAATTTTCTTTTCATATGTCAAAAATTTATGTAGCTGTTTGTGCTTTTGATCATGTACGAATTGGCATCACTATAAATCACGATATTTAAAAATAAAATCTGGCAGCAACATGTACAATATTAGTTTTATTTTTATTGTTTTGGTGCTAGCACGTGTTGAGGAATTTGTTTTAAATATATATTAAAAATAATTAGAAATGCCCAAATCAAAGAGAGATAAAAAAGGTGAACTAACAAAATATTTGGGTTCTATTTTTTTTATAATTAATTTATATCTTTATAGTTTCCCTCACCAAAACTGATCGCAAAGGATTAGAATGGAAACAACAAATAATCGATGATATCAGAAGATGCACAGAAAAATATCCAAATATTTTTGTATTCCAAGTACAAAATATGCGCAACAATTTATTAAAGGATTTGAGACAAGAGTGGAAACAAAATTCGAGATTTATATTTGGAAAAAATCGTATTATGCAGATCGCATTGGGCAGGACAAAAGCTGAAGAAATAGAAGTTGATTTGCATAAATTATCAAAGAGACTTACAGGACAGGTTGGACTGCTCTTTACTGAAAAGAGTAAAAAAGAGGTTTTAGAGTGGGCCGAAAACTATTGGGCAGTAGAGTATGCGAGAAGTGGTTTCGTCGCTACTGAAACAGTTGTTTTACCAGAGGGACCTTTGTCTGAATTTGCACACTCAATGGAACCTCATTTGAGATCGTTGGGAATGCCAACTTTATTAAAGAAAGGCGTAGTTACATTGTTATCAGATTACACAGTTTGCGAAGAAGGTAAAGTGCTTACGCCCGAACAAGCGCGTATACTAAAACTTTGTGCAAAACCAATGGCAAAATTTCAATTGACTATGAAATGTTCTTGGACAAAATCGGATGGTTTTGAATTGCACGTGGAAGATGATCTTAATGATGACAAGGCTGACAGTGGCCAAGGAGACGACGATGATGATGAGGCAATGGATGATGATGATAATTCAGATCTTGATGAAAAATAATTTAAATTTTTATTGCATTCGGATTTAGAATAGTAAAAAATTAGGCTAAGATTTACTTTGTTTATTCGTTTATATTTGAATAAATGTATACATTTCATGAATTTATGCCGAAGAAACACTTCCACTTCCTCCACTAACGGTACCACCGATTTTTTTTGTAGGTTTATAAGCTATAACATACCGTTGTGCTACGGGTAAAGGTTCTGCGTAACCATTCGTGTACGAGGAATCCTCAAATAAAACTTCGTAGTCTTCAGTAGCCGTCTGCGGTAATCTGTGAATGATGGCCTTATAAAAACATGTAGTTTGGGGATACAATGCCATAACTTTTGGAAAAATATAAAATCATATTTATTACATTAACAAGTAGGAAAGTATAGTCGGACATGGTCGACTATATGATACCCTACACCATGGTTATATTTTAAAAACTATTTTACATAAACTTTTATGTTGAATTTTACCTTAATTCCGATGTTTTTAACCAATTTATTGATGAAAATCTAAATTTCTAAAAGAGGCTTTATATGGGACTTAGGGTCAAATATGGGCCGATCGTCAACAAATTGGGAAGAGCGATGTAATTTTATATAAAGGATAGTAATGCTGAATTACATCGCGATACTAATGGTTATAAGTTAATTTTTAGACGTTTAAGTTATTTTTTAAACGGGGTTTGTGTGGGGGCTAGGGTCGAACGACGGCCTATCATTATAAAAATTGACATGGTCATTTATGCCATGCCATTGAAAATTGTGGCCTGTAGCTTACGCACATGGTTTACATGGACAGCCAGACGGACGGACATGTCTTAATCGACTCAGAAAGTGATTCTGAGTCGATCGGTATACTTTAAGGTGGGTGTAGGACCAATATTTGTATGCGTTACAAACATCAGCACAAACTTATAATACCCTCCCCACTATAGTGGTGTAGGGTATAAAAATCATAAATCACGAAACGTACCAACAGTGTCTTTTGGGAAAAGTGCATGTCCATCTGTTTCAGGATTGGCTCTCATCAAAGGCAGTGGTATAACTTTTCTTTTACTTAAAACGTGCCTATCTTTTTGTTCTTCATCAATGTCTACAACGTCATATTTATTTTGTCTGTTCAGAAATTGCACAACCTCTGCCAGTATCCAATTTTCTTCATCTTCCACACCTTTCACAAGTGCAGCTACATTATCACCAACTTTAGCAATGTAGTGGCTTTCAGCTGGGATAGCCCCACAAAGAGGAGGTACTTTTTCTCCCGGTTTGCTCACAAACAATGGCAGTGTCTGCGCTGATATCTGTACCATTTTCATAAGAGCTCCTCTTCTAATAGCTTCTTTATTTCCAGCATTGCGAGCTTGTATCCGACGTTCATTTCTTATATTTCGAATTTCCTGTATTTTTTCCAGAGCTTTTCGAATGCTTTCTTCTTCGATAGATGCATCTTGTAAACAAATTTTGTGCAAACTTTTTATTTTCTGAACCGGTAAATTGCTATGGTGAGCTCTATTTAAACTATTTATATTTGCTTCAGAACGGCGACGTTCATCATCAATTAAGTGTATTAAACGTTGAATATCCTTGAGGCGTTCCTAAAAGGATATTATTATTGAAACTCTAAATTTATTCGAAAACAAATCAATTCACCTGTATTTGTTGTGCAGCAATTTCCGCTGTTAAGGGCATTATTTTAAATATTACAATTCTATAATGTAAACATAAATATATTTCCATAAAGAATTACCCAAGGCGAATTCAGATAAGGTGGTGGCAGTTCTGCAACAACAACATCAAGGCGAATTCAGATAAGGTGGTGGCAGTTCTGCAACAACAACATTTTACATGTATTTTGTTTTTGCATTTGATTTACGTAAATGTCAAAAACCATAAGTACGGCGAATTCATTTCATGAAAAATTTTTGTAAAATTTTTATATTTTATTAAAAATAAGGATAAAGATATTAAAATTTGTGAAGAAAATATATCCTGAATTGAATAATGTTTGTTTCAAAGAAAAATTCTATTCCGGCAGATTAATTTGCAAAATTTAAGTGAGTGCCTGAAGTTAAGTAAAACTTAATTTTTTTTGAAAAATAAACATAAAAAAGTACATATTCATGAAAATATTATATTACGAATGAATGAATATTTGTTGCGAATGGATAATTCTACTCCGGCGGAGTAATTTTCAATATTTGGCCATAATGTATCAGCCGCCGGACGGGTAAATACTTCATATGGGTTTTGTTATATAAAGCGTTCCGGAACATACTTTTTTTAGTTCATCTCTTTATCTACATAGTGTATATATAAAACAATATTGTTAAATTTGTTAACATTTAATAGATTTCAAAATTAAGCGATATGTAAAAGTAAGCTGCCGCTGTTCGGCTAAATTCTTCATATGTGTGTCTTTATATAAAGTGTTCCGGAAGAGATTTTTTTTAGTTAATCACGTTATCTACACAATGTTAATATAAAATATAAAACAATATTGTTTAATATGTTAACATTTAATAGAAAAAAATATTTTTCCTAAATAACATATTTGTATACATACCAATTATGCCATTATTTAAATAAAATGATATTTGTTTACGAGATGCTTGGTATTTTTAGATTTTTTACATAAATAATTCAAAATATTAACGAAGTTTTTCTACGTTTAACGGAAATTTTTAAATATAAAAATGTAAACAATAACAAACTTTGACAGCTACATAAACCAGGCAATTTAAAAAAAAAATTCATCAGCTGATTGAATAACACCACCATATCTGAGTTCGCCTTGAACAACATATTACATGTATTTTGTTTTTGCATTTGGTTTACGTAGATGTCAAAAACCATAAGTACGGCGAATTCATTTCATGAAAAATTTTTGTAAAATTTTTATATTTTATTAGAAATAAAGATAAAGATATTTAAATTTGTGAAGAAAATATATTCTGAATTGAATAATGTTTGTTTCAAACGAGAAAATCTATTCCGATTAGATTAATTTGCAAAATTTAAGTGAGTGCCTGAAGTTAAATAAAACTTAATTTTTTGTGAAAAATAAACATTAAAAAGTACATATTCATGAAAATATTATAATACGAATGAATGAATATTTGTTGCGAATTGATAATTCTACTCCGGCGGAGTAATTTTCAATATTTGGCCATAATGTAGCAGCCGCCGGACGGGTAAATACTTCATATGGGTTTTGTTATATAAAGCGTTCCGGAACAGACTTTTTTTAGTTAATCTCTTTCTCTACATAGTGTATATATAATACAATATTGTTTAATTTGTTAACATTTAATAGATTTCAAAATTAAGCCATATGTAAAAGTAAGCTGCCGCTGTTCGGCTAAATTCTTCATATGTGTTTCTTTATATAAAGTGTTCCGGAAGAGATTTTTTTTAGTTAATCACGTTATCTACACAATGTTAAAATATAAAACGATATTGTTTAATATGTTAACATTTAATAGAAAAAAATATTTTTCCTAAATAACATATTTATATACATACCAATTATGTCATTATTTAAATAAAATGATATTTGTTTACGAGATGCTTGGTATTTTTAGATTTTTTACATAAATAATTCAAAATATTAACACATCTCCGTTTAACGGAAATTTTTAAATATAAAAATGTAAACAATAACAAACTTTGACAGCTACGTAAACCAGGCGAATTAAGAAAAAAATTATCAGCTGATTGAATAACACCACCTTATCTGAATTCGCCTTGGAATTACCGATTACTTTAAAATTAGAATCACTATGTAGTGATGCCTACTTTCCACTAACAAAACGCGGCGAACACAGTCGAATAGCATGGCACAAGTCATGATACAATTAATAAGGTAGCCTCGTCCACACAGCTGATCATCAGCTGTTACAATCTTATCTGTCAAAATTCCTGTTTGTTTACATTAAGGAAAAATAGCGTTGTAACAAATTTTAAAAAGTGAAGAAAATTATGTTTTTAAATAAGTTTTCTGGGTCAATTGTGATTAAATGTCTTTGTTGTCCTCCTCCCTTGATAAAATAAGAAAATGTTTTGCTTCGGCATACTTTCCAAATTATATTCAACAATTTTTACACGTCCAATTACTTTTCACAAAAAGCAAGATTTGTCTTCCCAATAGTTATAGTTATGATTTTCAGGCATTCCAGGTTTAATTAATTTAATATATTAATATTAATAGTTAAAATTTTAAATATTTGCTAAAAACTCATATTTTTATTGTGTTTATTTGTTGCTTTTTCATTATCCGCATGCAGTTTATTTTGACAGATGGGATTATTTTACAATAACAAATTGTCTGTTGTTTTTGTATTGTTGTATTTGTTGTAGCGACGAGGCTACCAGGATGCACTTATAAGGTGAAGTCAATTCTACAAAAACAACAAAAGTAGATACTGCTGTCAAAAAAATTACATGTTGCCACCGTGTTTTTTTTAATTGGCCTTACAAAAAGACAATCCCACATGCCCAAAAATCTCTTCACGTAAAGTAAATATGTTTATAAGATAAAATTTATTAAAAATTATACATGAATTGAAAAATTATTCACAAACAAAATTTTTATTTTATAAACGGTATTTTGTATGAAAACCATTTATAAAATAAAAATGTTGTTTGTGAATAAGGGGGTTAGAATATTATTTATTATTTACTTATTAAAAAAGTAAATAAATTATCAATTAAAATAATAAAAAATTAGTATTAGATTACAAAATTGTAAGTAGTAGCAAAAATACAAATTACATACATATTATTTTTTATCAGTCAATATTGGGAACTTATAATACCGTGTAGGTCTCTACTATTGTCGTATAAGAAATATATAATGATCTTTATAGAAATGTGACCAAACCACTACCATGGAAAGTTGTTAAAAAATAAGATATCTATGATAAAATCGATTTTTAATAATTTTATTTACAATTTGTACTCTCAATTGATTAGTAAAAAGTTCCCTATAATTGATAAAATAGATGCATATTTAAGACAAATAGTTTGTGCAATTTTTGAGTATTTCGCATAAATTTACTACGGATTAAAATGAATATAAAATTTATTTATTATTTTTTTGTCCTAAAAATATAATGCATCCCTAGATAGATGTACATATTTTTTCGGATTGTGGCAACTCTAAATGGTGTACTTTGACAGTTGTATCTACCTCAAATAAAAACAATTAGTGATCAGCTGTTGAATTGACTTCACCTTATAAGTGCACCCTGGAGGCTACCTTATTAAGTGTACACTGGGCACAAAATAAAGTATATTAAGAAAGTACCCACTAAACAATTTTTGCCGAATTCGTAACGAATTCGTACCGACAATCTGCACAAGTTGCCGATTTCGTATCCGAATTCCGTCAGAATTCGTTACGAAAGGTTGCTCGGAATTCGGAACTCTTTGTCTGAGGAAATTCGGAAAAATGTGCAGAGTTGTCGTTCAGAATTCGGTACGAAATCTGATGTAACTTCCTGGGGAAATTCTGTAGGAATTTTCGACAAATCTTATTGAAGTTGGACAAATGTCTGATACCATGTCTGACATTCTTTCGACATCTCGTACGAAAGTCTAATCAAATATAAGAAAGTCTGATAAATGTCTGATAAAATTTCCGACAGTTCGTACAAAAGTCTGATCAAGTATAAGAAAATGGGCTGACTATTCTGATCAACGTCTGATGAAAACTATTTTTATATATATAATTTATTATGGTTTAATTTTATTAATTTTAATAATAATTTATAAGCTTCCATTATTCATGATTTCTTAAGGGTACATAAAAAAATAATAGAAACTTATAGATTAATTTTAAAATTAATAAAATAGTATGGTTTACTATTTACATATTATATACGAAAATAGAGTTCATTACATACATCTATTTGAAATTATAAAATGAAACCATAAAAAATTATGTAATTTTTTGCTAATTTTTGTATATTAACAAAGTTTAATGAAATTTAAACAATAATTATCACATATGTAGATGTTGTTTACTTGATTTACAAAGACCAACTGAGAAAATAAAAGAAAAGAAACATAAATTCCCTTTTAAAGTACAGATGACGAATTTCAAAATATAAACAAGTTTGTGCATGATTTTTATTAAAAACAAAACAAAATTTCCTTCAGATAATCTGCAGAGTTGTCGCAAAGTTTTCTTACAAAAGCACTGAAAATGGGAATAAAATGACCGAGCTAAAAATATAAGAAAATGTGCAGACTATTCTGTTAAATATCTAAAGGAAATGTATATTATTCGCTTAATTGTCTGACGAAGTTACAAAAACAATTCTCTTCAGATTATGTGCAGATTTATCGGATATAATTCTTAAGCCATTTTATATTTTACTTCAGAAAATGTACAGACTATTCTCCTTTATGTCTAAAAAATAATATAGGAATAAAAAAACAAATTGTCCTCCGCCAATGTGCAGATTAGTCTCATAATTGTCGTAACACTGAAATTCCCTTTCGACAATATGCAGACAAGTCTGATGTTAATCGTTTAATACTTCAGAAAATGTGCAGAAAAGTCTAACAAACAGTTTGCCGATTATTCTGTAAAATGTCTAAAAGAAAATTTAGGAATTCGTTAAAAATTCTGATAAAGTATGAGAATTATTTCAGAAAATTTCTGACATCAGACATGTCTGAAAAAATTGTTTACTGGGTACCGACATCTCTTGTTGTACAACAACATCTACAACAACCACATGTATTTTGTTTTTGGAATAATTTAATATTGTTTCAAAATTATATG